TGAACATTTGTGGGATGAGTGCATGAATAATTGAATGAAAGGAAATTAAATCTGGATCTTTTATTCCTCTTCAATAAGTTTCTACTGTATTAGTTTTTCTCTTTTCCTCTTTTTCTCATCTCCCCGTTTCCTCTCTTATGTTCCATTTCTTGGCTCCTGATTTTAACACATGAATCCAGCATTTTACAAGTTACACAATATTGTAGAGGCTGGCTTTTACCTTTTATCCCCTTGCCTCTTCTTAGAAAGGAGAGCAATTTTGGGGGTGCTGGAGGTGGATCCAAAACCATTAGGGACTATCAGGAAGCATTCAGGGACTTAGTTTTTTACCCTGAGCCACCTTTGGGTCCACTTTTGAAGGGCCGCAGTCCTGCTGTGATCATGTGATTTATAACAAGAAAGAGAAATATATATACATTTTTAAGATTTTATTTTTAAGTAATCTCTATACACAATGTGGGGCTTCAACTCACAACCCTGAGATCAAGAATCTCATGCTCTACTCTTTCTTTTAAAAGGAACCCCCCTTTAAAAAAAAATTAATACAAGTAAAACCCCAAAACGACAGTGTTCAGAAAACTCCTAGCTCGGAGGAGTAAAAATTAACAAAAGTAAGCCCTGTTTAGAATGCAGTGGAGGGGCGAGCCCGGGAAGCTCCCTTGCCCTACCAGTTGTCAATTGTAGACCCAACAGGAAGAAACTTGCCTCCCAAGTAGATACATTTTACTTTACTATCCCAGCAGGAGGAAGAAAATTTTCCTTCTTCCCCTGGCAACAGCCCAGCCAATGAGGGACCGCCACAACTCAGCCAATGAAAAGCCCCTATATTTTGAACTCCCAGTTTACTCCAATGGCTCTTTCGTTTGTAGCGGCCCCGCCCACCTTCCCTCTATAAAGGAGCCCCGCGCGGCTTCGTTCCCAGGACCTGGTTGTACTTTTTTTTTTTTTCCACCCTGGTTGTACTTTTGAAGAAACCTCGTGTGTCTTACTCCCAAAGAAACCCAATTTTGCTGGTAAAATAACTGGCAGTTTTATTTTTAAGGCTAAATGTGAACAGGCGGAGATGCTCCGGGAGAATGCGGACGCTCCCAGCTGTTCCTGAGTTAAAACCTTTTTATAACAAACTGGTAACCTAGTAAGTAAAATGTTTCTCTGAGTTCTGTGAGCTGCTCTAGCGAGTTAGTGGCACCTGAGGAGGGAATCTTTAATTTATAGCTGGTGGCTCAGAAGTACAGTTGACCGTGAACAACGTGGGCACTGACTCCCCATGCAGTCAAAAATCCTCGTATAACTTTTGTCTCCCCCAAAACTTTAATAAATAGACTAGGGTTGACTAGAAATGGTATTGATGACATAAACAGTTGATTAACACATATTCCGTGTGTTATCTGTATGAGGTGCTGTATTCTTAAAGTCAGGTAGAGAAAGGTCCCTTAAAATAAGGGAAAATACATTTTTAGCACATTACTGTATTTATGGGAAAAAAATCCCCATGCGAGTGGGCCTGTGCACTCAAACTCGTGTTGTTCAAGGACCAGCTGTACAGTAACAACCTGGAGGTTGAGGCTGGAGTCTAAAGCAGCGAGCAGGGTTGTGGGACTGAACCCTTAGCCTGTGGAATCTATGCTGTCTCCGAGTACATAGTGTCTGAATTGAGTTTAATCCTAGGACACACACTGGCATCCGAAGCATGGTTTTTTGGTGTAGGGACACCTGCCCCAAGCAAACACACATTGGAATTTGTACTAGAATCAAAGACCAGCAAACTCCCCAGAATGATGGCTCTGTTGCTTCTTGGTTTGTGTTCCCAGGCCTGGGTAGACTCTGGAGGGGCAGGGAGCACTGACACTGTGGCATGTATGGATGATATTTGCTGGAGGGTGGCACTCCCATGATGGGAGATGTCAGCCCAGTGCCTGCTGAGACTGCCCTCCTTAAGCTACAGCACTCAGTGGAGATGTCAGAGCAAACCCGAGTCTTTTTCTGGGGATGTGTAGCTACCAAGTCCCTAAGGGTCCCCAGATGTCTCATCACACCTGGAAAAGGAGTTAAAGAGTTAATTTTTGCTATTTTAAGCTCATTACAGATTTTTTTAAAATAAGATTTTACTTATTTGAGAGAGAGCACTTGAGCAGTGGGGGGAGAGGCAGAGGGAGAAGCACATTCCCTGCTGAGCAGGGAGCCCAAACCGGGTATCCGGGATCATAAGCTGAAGGCAGACACACAACCAACTAAGTCACCCAGGCTGCTCTTTGATCATTATGAAATTTTTTTGCATTGATTTTGATTTGTAAAAAATAGAGCATTAAAATATCATTTATCCTGATTACTGCATTTTAAAATTAGAATTTTGCACCCAAGCTGGGGCCTCATTTGACACATCCCAGTCCTTGTCCTGGCTGAGCCATTGAAGTGTGAGTTCCTGGAAGGTGTTAAGCTCGGGATTGGAGAAAGTGTAAGCACTGCTCTTGGGGTGTGGTATTGGACTTGATGGCTCCTTTATGGTTCAGTTTGTTTGCAGTCTGAAAAACATTGCACACTTGCCCTGCAACAGCCTCAGTTGCAGGTGCTGGGAATACAGATATGCACAAACTTTGGTCCCTTCTCTAGAGATTAATATAGAGTGGGGGTAGAGTGGGAAGCATGCCTAAGTACCATGTGGTGAAGGCACTGTCAGAAGTAGCCCAGGGTGATGTGGGGAGCAGAGATACCCAGACCCAGCTTGCAGGGAGTGGGGTTGGAATGCTATAGGAGACATTGGTATACATGGGGGATAACCGGCACTGAGCAGGCTTCAGGAAGAGGGAACAGCGTGATCATGGGTACAGCGGCAAGACCTATGTGGCTGAGCAGGAAATGAGTAGTTCCATATTGTCAAAGCATATGCTTTGGGCAGGGGTGTAGTAATGAATAATAAAGCTGGAGAGGTAAGTGGGACAGGACCATGAGGAGCTTTGGGAGCCCTATTAAGGAGCTCTGACTTTATCCTACATGTAAGGGGGAGTTATTAAGGTCTTTGAAGTAGATGGAGAACCTGAGACTTACTAATGTGAAGATTAAAGCTTTGCCTTAAATAACCTACCTAAAAAAAATAGCATATAGGGCTCCTTTTTCTCCACATTCTTGCCAACATTTGTTATCTCCAGTCTTTTGATAAAAACCATTGTTGTAGGTCTGAGGTGATTTCTCACTGTGTTTTGATTTGTATTTTCCTGATGATGAGTGATGTTGAGCATTTTTTCAGGTACATATCAGCCATCTGTACGTCTTCTTTGGAAAAACGTCTGTTTGGGTCTTTTGCCCATTTTAATATTGGATTATTTGTTTTTCTGCTATTGAGTTGTATTAATTTTTTAATATATATTTTGGATATCCGTCCCTTATCAGATATTTGCTTTGTGCGTATTTTCTCCCATGTTGCCTTTTCAATTTATTGATTGTTTCTTTTGCTGTGCAGAAGCTCTTTCTTTAGTGTAATATGGTCCCAATTGTTTATTTTAGGTTTTGTTCCGGTTTCTTACCCCAGAAATCATTGCCAAAACCCATGTCAGGGCTTTTTTCCCTGTGTGTGTGTGTGTGTGTGTGTGTGTGTGTGTGTGTTTTCCCTAGGAGTTTTGTGGATTCAGGTCTTACATTTGAATCTTTGAGCCATTTCAAGTTAATATTTTTGAGTAGTATAAAAGATAGAATTCCTAGGTATGTATAAAAAAGAATTGAAATCAGACTCTTGGTGAGATACCTGTGCACACCCATGTTCACTGCAGCAGGCTTAATGGTAGCCAAGACATGGAAGCAACCGAAGTGTCCTTCGGAAGAATGGATAGCGATACCAATCTTTAGAGAAGGGACAAAGTTTTGTGTACATCTGTGATCCTAGCACCTGGAACACAGTTCGTTCTAGGGAAAGTGTGCAATACGTGTTTCCCAGAATGTTACCATACTGAACCATAAAGGAGCCATGAAGTCCAATACACACACACACACACACATACACACCCCCATACACCCATACACACACACTTAAGAATATTATTCAGCCATGAGAAAGAAAGTCCTCCCATTTGCAACAGCATGGATGGACTTTGAGGACATCATGCTGTGTGAGATAAGTCACCCAGGGGAAAACGAGTACTATAGGATATCACTTAAGTGTGCAATGTAGAAAAAACAGAGTAGAATGATGGTTACCAGGGTGTGGGAGTGGTGGGATTTGGTCCTACCTTAGGTTTCTCTTGAGAAAATGAGTATTCATCCTTCCCACTCAGGGACGCCTTTCCCTCAGAACATTTTCATGGATTTCTGTTCCTGCTCTCTGCCCTTTTACTTCAAAGCAGTCTGAGCCTGCTTAGCCATTTTGGCGGGCAAAACCCCTTCTCATTTGCTGTCTCTGCCTAAAGTATTGATGCTTCTTTTTTTTTTTCCATTAATTTTTTTGTTGTTGTTTAAGAAACACATTCTTTTTTTTTTCTTTTAACAAATTTTAATTCTAGTATAGCTAACATACAGTGTTCTATTAGTTTCAGGTGTACCCTGTAGGGATTCAGCAATTCTCTACATCACTCAGGGCTCATCAGGATAAGCATGTCTTCATCCCCTTCACCTGTTTCCCCCTTCCCCCTACCCACCTCCCCTCCAGTCATCAGTTTGTTCTTTGTAGTCGAAAGTCTGTTTTTTGGTTGGTCTCCTTTTCCCCTTTCTTCCTTGGTTTTGTTTCTTAAATGCCATATATGAGCGATGTGTGTTGCTTCTTCTCTCGCCCATCGTGCTGATGTTACTACAAAATGGGTCCCCCAAAAAGGGGTCCTGCAGGCTAAATACAGAGGCAGAGCCCCTGGGACTCTTGTCTCTGTGAGTCCCCTCACGGCCACCACTGAAGGAACATCCCTTCAGCTGTTTCTCACTGCCGCTAAGTCTCTCTCAACGGAAGGGAGCACAGCCCTGCCAGGTCCAGGGGCGTCCGTGACCACACGGCGTCTCTCCTTGTGCATTCCTTTATGACGATGGTGCATGTGTTTTCATTGCAGAGGTCCTCTGACAAGGAGTCCATCCTGACCATCCTCCAGGTCCTTGGAGATCTGCTTTCTGTTGGTGAGTGGGAGGAGGTGGGGAGGGGGTGCTGTGGCTGTGGTGTCTCCTGGATTCTGTGTGGTCTGCGGGTGGTGGTGCTCCAGGTCACGTTTTCTTTTTTTTGAAAGATTTTATTGATTTATTTTGACAGACAGAGATCACAAATAGGCAGAGAAGCAGAGAGAGAGAGAGAGAGAGAAGGAAGCAGGCTCTCTGCCGAGCAGAGAGCCTGATGCGGGGCTCGATCCCAGGATCCTGGAATCATGATCTGAGCCGAAGGCAGAGGCTTTAACCCACTGAGCCACCCAGGCGCCCCACAGGTCACGTTTTCTGTCAGAGACAATTGGGCTCTTTAATCTTGTCACCCACCCCATGGTGACCCAAACGTAGGAGGAAGTTTGGCTCTGGGTGGTTATTCTATGGTGTCTCATCTGTGGTTAACCCAAGGTCCTCCAGGGGCCTGTGGCTGTCCTTGGAGAGAGCCAGCCCTCGTGACTCTACCCCTCCCCTTCCTCTACTCCACTCCCTCTGCCCATTTAGAGTTAGGTATTGGCAGCTTCCTAACATATGTCAAGTGCAGATGGGAATATGAGGCAGGAGCTCGACTTAGCGGTGTGGTGAGCTATTAAGTTTTCAGAGAAACGATGACATAGTTCACCACACTGGAATCAGCTGGTTAACTGGGGCATGCCTCTGCTAGCTCACTTCAGTGTGAGGGTTCTGGAAAATAGACCCTCTCGGACATTTCAGCACTCATTCAGTTTTCGTTGCTACGGATGCCAGCCACATTGCATTAGGAAGAAATCTGCACACCAAACGGGCAGGACCAAAGGGAACGTCGCTCCCCTGTCCAGGCGCATCTGGCTTCAGTTCCAGGAGGGAGGGCCCCGTCCCGGTGAGGTTTTCCCATAGGCTGTGCTGCCCTCCGATGGCGGGGTGACTCCCCTACAGCCTTCTGAGTGTGGTACCCTGTGTAGATGAAGCTTTTGACTTGTGGGATGGTGCCTCCTTCACTTTGCCCAGGTGCCTGGAACCCGTGCACTGAAACCTTGGAGTTGACCTTCTGCTATAGGAGCTGATCACCGCTTCTTTCGTAGACAATGTTCCTTTTTGTCGGCTGAAACACCAGAGGGTCTTCTTTGCTGATAACGTCCCACCGTGTTGGCCACCTCGCTGGGTCAACCATGCACGGCGCATGGACAACCACGGGGGTCCCCTTCCAAGTTGAAACGTAATTCCCGCTTTTGAGCTTGTCCTGGGGCAAGGTGGGGGAGATCCATGTTCATGACTATTCTTAGGTAGAAAGACCAATGTACCTGATCCTAGCTCAAGGCCCTTTTCAAAACTCCCGACATGGATGACTGGCTGTCTGTTTCTTAAAGAAGCACTCTAGCTGTTTCCCTATATTCCTCTTGTCAGTTGCTGGAGACCAGCACCATAAAGCTGTTACATCACCAATTAAATTATTTCAGGCAAACTGTCATCCGGATCCTCATTACAGAGGACTCAAGCCTATACCAGAGGGATACTGATATTCCCTTTTCTATTAAAGATATAATTCCACGGAAGCCACACACACAAGAATGCAAACGTACACTGAGGCTCCGTTGGTTCTCAGGAAAGTGGTTTATGCAGGTGGACACACCTAGGTGCTTAAATATTCCATTATTTCTCTGTGTCTCACCCCCACCCCAATCCCTTCCCTAAAAGTACAGCTTTACATGAGTTCCTTCGGAAACCACTCTGTTTTGGTTTCTGGGGCAAATCGTTTCTGGGGCGAACCGATCCTTGCTCTGTCTCTGTCTGGGGGGTCTGCTTTCTGCGCCAAGAAAATGAGGGTGATTATTTGGGGGCCTAGCTGTCCTCTATTTTCTCCCTCAGGCACCGACCGAAGGATTCGCTACATGATCAGTAAAGGGGGCAGCGAGGCGCTTCTGCAGACCCTGGTGGACACAGCCAGGTCAGCTTCTCCAGACTACGATGTCCTGCTGCCCCTCTTCCGACTGCTGGCCAAAGTGGGCCTACGAGGTAACCACACCCCCCGGATCTAAAGATGGCTGAAAAGGCACTTGTGGGGTTGTTCTCATGACAGCAATTTAGGAAACTCTAGTGGGGAAGTGCAGGGAAGTCCTAGACACTTTGGAGCTGGGACCAGCCCCACAGGAGATGTCATTTAGTTGTCCAGTGCCAGGGCAGGGCCCCGAGTGGACAGGGACTACATGGGGCATGGAGCAGATGGGGGACAGAGGGGAGGTGCTCCCAGGCAGTTTTTCAATCACTTTAAGAATAAACAGAACATTTCTACGAGCAGACTCTTACACAGAAGTTCATTATATGAGTGTATGAGTTTTCTGGGGCTCCTGTAACAAATTCTCACAAACTGGGTGGCTCCAAACAGCAGAAATATATTCTCTCACAGTTCTGGACACCGGAAAGCCTGAAATGAAGGTGTTGGCAAGGTTGGTTCCTTCTGGAGGCTCCGAGGGAGAATCTGCTCCATGCCCCTCTGCTAACTTCTGTGTTTCCAGCCATCCTTGGCGTTTCTTGGCTTGTACACATGTCACTTCAGTTTCTACCTGTGTCTTCACTTGATGTCCTACTCTGTGTCCTTCTCTGTGTCCTCTTCTTCTTACAAGGACATTGGTCACTGGATTCAGGGCCCACGTAAACCTGTGACCCCACTTTAAATAATTAAATCTGCAAAGACCCCGTTTCCAAAGAAGATAACATTCTGAGGTTCCATCCAGGTGGACACGAATTTTGGGGGGTGAATTTTCAGCCTATTACTAGAAGCCACACGGAACCAGAGCTTCCCTAGTAGAAGATGGGGGCCTCGAACTCTTTCTCCTTAGGCTCCATACCCATTTCTTTTTGCTCAGAGAAGACCCTGAAGCACCTCCCTAAAGCCGTAGAACCTCTCGGCGCACAGTTTAAAAAGCCGGGGTACTCAGGAGGCACGCAGCCCTTGCGACCTAGTCATTAACAGTCAAGCTCCAGTTGCGTGAGGTCTTACGTAAGTCACAGTGGGGGAGCTCCGGTGCTGCGGAAGGTGGACCTGTGTTGTCCAGTGCAGGCAGCGGTGGCCACAAGGGAGTAGGGGCTCAGGGGCACCCTGACCTTGCACTGTCTAGATCTCTGCTTTGAGTCCATTCCACACTCTGCAGGTCACGACGAAGACCCAGGCCTCGGCCAGCACCTGCGCGAGCATATTCTCGACAAAACAATCCAGTCCGTTCATTGAATATTTAGCCCGGAATGTCTGGGCACTGTGCCAGGTGTTGGGAACACTGGTGACCAAGGCAGATAAGGGGCCCACTCTTATGGAATTTACATTCAAGTGGGAAAGGGCTGAAAGTGAATAATTTGCTAGGCAGAGTATGATAATTAGCTAGTAGCTGTGAGGGAAGGAAAAAAAGGGGAGATGTTCCTCTAAGTTGGTGTGTTCAGAAAGAGGTAACAGGTGAGCCAACACTTGAAGGAGGAGAAGTCAGCAAAGCAAAGAGTAGCCACATGAACTATAGAGAAAGATGGGAGAGACACCATCTCTACCCTGGTTGTGAGTAGTGTTAACTGAGAAGTCAGATCTGGGTTTCAGGCCTCACCCCAGCACTAATTAGCTGTGCTGCCTTGGGTAAGTTACGTACCCTTTCTGAGCCATTGGTCCCTCATCTACAAAATAGAGGTATGAGTCCTTAATTTTAGGGTTTGCTGTAAGGATTAAGTGAGGTTGGATGTCACCTGCTTAGTGTGGGGGCCTGACAAACTAGAGTCATGTAGGTTTCATAGAAGAGAGAGAGACGCAGGATGGACCAAGGCCATCAGGGCCCTGATTCCCAAGCTCTGCTCCTGGCTCGTCCTACTGGCATCATTATGTCACTGCAGCCTCTGCCATCGCCAGATTGTAGCCCTCACCGCCGTGCAGGCTGCCGGGGGCTGACCTAGCAGAGCCCGAGAGACGCCTCTGTGCTGGTGAAGGGCTCCGGTCGTATTAGTTTGGTTGCCGTCTCTTTGCTGGTGTCCTTTGGTCTAGAGGTGGATATTGGCAAACTGGGTTTAGGATATTGTCTCTTTTACTCATTTCTACCTTCAATGAGTCTGAGAGCAATTCAGGAAAATTACAGATAGAATTTTGCTCTTTAATACGTTCGAGTGCGTTTCTTTGCAAAGACATTTTCCTACATAATCCTGATACCACGATTACAAATCTAACAAAATTGACAATACATGTATAATTTATACTCATTTCAGTTTCTCCAAATGTTTCCCAATGGGGCAATTACAGATGTGTTCAAAGAAGGAGCCAATCAAGTTCCACACGTTGCATTTGGACGTTCTGTATTTTAAGTGTCCTATATTCCAGAATTATCTTAAAGGAAGAAATTTATACCCTATTAAACTGTAGTTCACATTTGAGGTCAGCCAGAAGCACGCGGACATACAGGTTGTGTGTCATACAACCCACAAGGCCTCGTGTAAATATTACTTGAAGAATGAATGGACTTTATGTATACCCTGCCTTGGCTCTTCTGGACCCCCACCTGGTTCCAGTGGGGACGTACTTAGTAGCATTTTCCGCCAGATGGGAAAAGTCACATTAGCTACGATCATTCTCTTGCCTTCCTGTGCTCCATGCATTGTGCAGCCCTCTGAATTAGTGTGGAACATAACTAAGATGGATTGATTTATGTTCCTAGATAAAAAGTTTGGACAGAAGGCCCTGGAATTGGAAGCACTTGATGTGACATTGATTCTGGCCAGGAAAAACCTGTCCCACAGCCAGAACCTCCTTCACTGTCTCTGGGCTCTGCGTGTGTTCGCCTCTAGTGGTAAGTGACTCAAATTATGGCTTTCTGGGGTGGCTTCCAGACCTGGGCCAGGACACCTAGCAACCATTTAGGGGCTGGGGTTGGAAGGAGGGTCTGGGTGCAGGATATATATTGTCCCAGCAAGATAAATAGGTCACGTGGAGCGTCATGTTCTGGAGGTTATAGAGGTAAAAAGTTCTTTCTTTGTCTCTTCCTCATCCAGGTAGAACTCTTGAGCTCATTACTGAGGTTGGATGCCAGTATTGTTTGCCCTTGGGAAGCACACATCATGTATTCTAGGCTTCTCCATTAGTACTACATGGTGAAAAAGACTTATGACAGGAGAGAGTGTAGGGCTTTATTCAGGCCTTGTCATATTCACGGCATAGGGCGATGTTAAGAATGACTTTCACATCACAGATCTCCGTACTGTGTCCCCGAAGTTGCCTGTTGATCACAGCATTCTTTAACGAAACATCTTTACCTCATTTTACCTCTGTGCTTCTCAACATAGTCCTCCAGGTAACTAGATGCATCGTGACACATGGGTTCATACTTACTTGCTATCTCCTGCCTGGGATTATTTTAGATTATCATAACAGTCCTGTGTCTAAATTTACCATTTTATAGCCAAGAAGAGGGAAATGAAGCTGGGAAGAGAGAAGAAATTGCTTAAGTTTATACGGACACGTTTGGGGGCTGCGTTTCTAACTCCAAATCTCATGTTTACTCTCCATGTGGGGACACTTGCTATGAACAGAATAGATTCTGTACCTTCCTTCTCACATAGAATGAGCACAGACTTTATTTCTAGTTTCTGAGCCCCTTTCCTGTACAGTGGAAGTGATGTCATGCTCTCTAGTGGGAAGAACATGTCTTAGAACCAGGAAGACCTGGGTTTGACATTGATTTCATTCCTTGGGAATCCTACGGCATAGGCACTTAACCTGTTTACCTCTGTTTCTTCCATTGTAAAATTATAGTGGTTATAAGAGCTCCCTGACCTGGAAGATGGATAAGTGAGATGACTTCCACGGGTATGTCTGTCACATTGTAGCTGCTCAGTTAGTTTCCCTTCCCTGTTCTACTCTTTTCCCATAGTCCTTTGAAATGATAGGAAAAGCACACCTAAGGGGAATGAGGAAGTGACTTTTCCCCCTAACTATCCTCAGAACTACTAAGATTAGTTAGCTATCTACTAAGTAAGTGGGGGTCCTATTTTATTTTTTAATTCCATTAATATCCATGGAGGACCCATAATGATAGAGTACTTTCAGGAAAAAACAAGATGGGTCCTTCACTCCATGTTCATGGAAGGAACCTCCTCCCACACTCATATATGTTGACCAGAAAATCAGAATGGGAGAGGCTGAAAAGTTCTGTACAAACCCATCTTTAATTAAGGAAAGCCCAAGTGTAGAGCTGTGGCTTTGTGTAGAGGACAACTGTCATTAATAAGCAGGCTGAGGGTGGCTCACCCCCACTGGGAGTTTGCAACAGTGGAAGATTCAAAGTATCTCATTTTAGTTTCCTAAAGAATAATTAGGTTGAATAACTTAGCTTTCTTATTAAGTCTGTTGCTTGTAGATGTCTTGAAGAATTCCTTTTAGCAAGGGGCTCTAAAAATGTTGAGTTAACTGCAGGTATGAGGAGGTGGCCATCTGTCTCGTATTCTAAGACCACATTTATCGTACTAGTGAATTTTTCTATAAAGGTTATTTTAAAATTCATACCGTGACTCTTTATACAATGACATGAGATGCAAGCAGAGTTCACGAAGTCTGTGGACTGATTGCTGTCTCTTTGGTGAATTGTTATCCACTGTTGAATGTCCCAGAAAGCTTTCTAAAAAGTTCCTATCTGTGGAAAGAGTTGGCTGGAACCATAATGGGGCTGCCACAGCCAGTGAAGCCTTTGGCATCTCTCTACTGGTCAGTGGGGATGTTGATGGAGCTGCTGGAGGCAGCTGACCTTGGGCAGGCAGCCAGCAAGGAAAAACTCGGCGGTGGGGGGGTGGGGTTCTTATTGTCCCCATCTTTCTTTCTTTTTTTTTTATTATTATTTATTTATTTGACAGAGAGAAATCACAAGTAAGCAGAGAGGCAGGCAGAGAGAGAGGAGGAAGCAGGCTCCCCGCTGAGCAGAAAGCCCGATACAGGGCTCGAACCCAGGACCTGGGATCATGACCTGAGCCGAAGGCAGCGGCTCAACCCACTGAGCCACCCAGGCGCCCCATGTCCCCATCTTTCAATTCCAAGTCTAAAGTCTTCCATATTAGAACCTGTGCTCCTAAAACTATTTCATCTCTAACGCTACTTAATACTAGAATTTCGCTGAATGATTTGCCAAGAGATGGCTCCAGCATGTTTTCCCAGTTTAGAAATAAATGACTGAGTTGGTAGCCATGAGAATGGAAGATTGATGGTCAGGACTAGGATGCCAAATCTCTGAATTTGGATCCAGGCAGTTACTGCCTGTACCAGCCTCAGGAGGGACATATGCATAGAGGGTGTTCCAGGAACACACAGTCTCTGTAATCACGAAGACATCAGCCTCAGTCTCTCTCTGGTGGACTGTACTGGGATGAACTATATTAGAGCCCCCAGATTCCCATCTATCCTTCTTTCCCGAGGCTTGGAGCAAGCCAGGATAAGCCTCCCTTGTTTTTCTCTTTGTTTCTCCATGACCTCCTTGCTCCCACTCGTATTTCCTAGAACAAGACTGGCCCAACACACAAGGCATTCCTGAGCCTTGGTTTCAGCACCCCATTGCGGTAGAGGAAAGAGACAAGAGAGTCACACCATGCAAAATCCCTTCTTTCCTTCTTACGGGGGAACTTCTTCCCCTTGCCAAACTGATTCCGTTTTGTCTCTGGGAGGCTCTCCTTATTTTTTTGACACAACCAGAGCTCCTCCTAAAGTGAACTGGGTGCAGCAAGGAACTGGGGATGCCGCTGAGAGGCCACGGTGTCACTGGAGAGATAAGCGTGACGTCCAGAGGGTTTGGGTCCAAAACACGTATCTGAAGCCCCTGGTCAGCCTGGGCCGACCAGATACCATTGTCAGTTATTTTCTCTCACTCAGATCTATGGATTTTTAAAAAAATAACCATTCAATTGGGCGAAAAGACAAAAATTTCCCAGGCTAGTGACCTTTGAGGAGGAAGAATTGATTCTTCCCTTGATGTGCTAGTAGATGGGGGCACAGTCAAGTCTGAGACTCAGTCATGGGAGATCCAACTACGAAAGCTGTTGGGGAACTTGGAACTAAGGTGCAAAAGAAAGGGGGCTGCCTTCTTCACTAGCTTGCCCCTCAAAGTTAAAGGAGCCAATCCAAGTTGGATTGAACCTTAACCCACCCACCCATGACTTTTCTTTATGGTGAAGTTTCCCAATGGCAGAATGAGTCTAAGGAACGGTTTGGTCAGATACTGGCAGTGTGTGTGTGTGTGTGTGTGCGCGCGCGCGCACTTGTGTGTGCCCGAGTGTACGTGTGCTCGTGTGTTTGCATCATGGGGCAAGTTGATGATGGGTGAAAGCACTTGAACGGAAAGCCGAAGATCTACTTTCTGAAAAATCTTCTGTTTGACATTGGCTTTGACTATTCTGAGTAATAACACAATGAAGAGGTACACTGGGTCATCAGGAATGAAAAAACATAATTTCATGGCTTGGGCCCCCTTTGAGAAAATAGTATGAAAAGGCAATGTGTGCTTTACAGGTGATCTTTGCTTCCAGACCAAGGATGCAAAGACCATCAAGTGTCTTTGCTTTTGAGTGGCCTTTGGCAAGAGATGGAGCTCCCCTATCTCTCAGGCCTACTCTGTAATGCCAAAAAGAATTCTTGGTTTAGGTGGTTCAGTAACTACTGTGATTTGTTCTTTCACAGTCACCACGGGAGCCATGCTGGGAATTAATGGAGCCATGGAACTGCTTTTCAAGGTCATCACCCCTTATACCCAGAAGCGCACCCGAATAATCAGGTAGGGGCACTTGCGTAGTGCTTTTTCCCTCTATGTAGCAGATGCAGAGCTGGAGAAGGCCTCGTGTACTCGCGCGGTGGCTTGCAGCTGAGTTGAGTGAGTTGAGTGAAACACTATCGTGTTTCAACGGGCATCCCTCCCCACCCATGCCTCATTTCCTCTAATCCGCACGGTGCCCCTGAAGGGCTATATTATTATCATCCTCGTTTTCAGATGAGGAAACCGTGGGGAGAGAGCCTCATCCAAAGGTCACAATACTAAGAAATGGCAGAGCTGGGATTTGAACCTAGATCTTTCTGACTCAAAAGCCCATGTTTCTTGTCTGAAGCCTCCGGATATCCTTTTTTTGCTCATAGTAACTCTACAGAGTTTGCTTAGCCCTTAAAAGAGGCAGTCTAGAGGAGACAGGCAGAGGTGACGCCCCTCAGCGCATCTCTAGAATTGGCCAGTTCAATTTTGGTATGAGATCCGGGCCTTAGCACAGTCCATCATGGCTGCATGCTGGTTTTGAGATGTACTTTTATGACTGGAAAATGAAACTCAGCCCCTTCTCTCTGGCGCTGCTTGCTGGAGTGGCGTGAATCACAAACCTAAAAAGGGAGAGATGGTTAGACACGAGGAGATGTTTGGAACCATTAAGATCCATCATTTATGAGGGTGACTCAGCAAGGACCTTGAAAGAATATTAGAAAGAATTCAGCCAATTTCTGAGATATATGGGGTCATTTGGCGGAGTAGCATTTCCATGCCCGGCCATGAGATTTTTCAGCATCTCAGCATCTATCTTAGGCTGTTGTTCCTCCTGACGGTTTTTCTCTTGGGTCTCCCCCGGAATGCCATTAGCATCTATCCTCACCTGTGGCTTTCCACACCAGCATTTCCTAGAGTGAAATACATTCTATTTCAGTAAAAATATGTCCTCATTAGATACATCGAGAACTGTGGGGTTAGACCAAGTTACGCAGGTTCCTTTACAGTGAGACCTCTCTCAACCTTTGTGAAGCCCAAACACATCTGGAATATCCAAGATGGGTCCATGATTCACCCTGTCCTAAACCCGGTTTGGCCAGGAAATGGGTCTTGTTTGAAGACCACCATCTGGGGGGAGTCACCATTTCTGGGGGGAGAAACTTCTGGGGATTAAGTGTTCTGCCAGGTGGAAGTTGGTTGAATTCTACCAGGGGATCCTCAGTTAGTAATAGAGAACTTCAGGGTCACTAGCTCAGTGACCAATAAAGAGGAGCTTTCCTGAATTTCTGTAGTGGTACATTAGTTCCTCTTAAAATTCCATTTAGATCTATTCAGATTTGTATGATGTAGGTACATGTAGTGTTTCTCGTCCTGCGTGGGCCTTTGCTGCTGTCATCTGCAGTCTCAACATGTCCTGTGGTCACCAGTCCGTGAACTTGTACTTTTTCCTCTATCGACAAGACCGCCTGTAATCTCTCAGTGTGTCCATTCATCTGTTTGGCAGCTCAGGAGCATGTGGTTGCCTCCCGGACACTGTGTGACAATCGGTGTGATGTCCCCCGGGCCCATTCGCGTAGGAGTGTCACCCAGTTATGTCTTCTTGCCATGCGCATGCCATGCTGTTTGGAAGGCTTCTCTAGGACACTTTCCCAGCCAGCCTTGGCACTAGACTCCTCCGTTCTGGGGCACTGACAGCTTTTATTGTCTTCCTTGTTCAGGCCAAGCTGGGGCAGAGTAAGCCAGAAGGCACAGAAGTCCCCTTCTCAGAGACTCAGGTCAGGTTGCTGTGTCTCTTGCTCTTTTGCTGCAAAGTGAGTTGAATTCAGGCACAGATCCGATCAGGGGGCCGTGGGAGAAACCAGGGACTCAGGGGTGGGTGTTGACAAAATGAAACTTTCAGGGACCTCGGGCTGATTTCTGCATTTTTGGTCTGTTCTATAAAATGGGGACAAGATGATTTCCTCTTCCTGAGCCCAAGGCCTGATTAAAACCAAGCCTCCACAGAGAAGGTGTTTCTTCCAACCACTACCATGTGGCTCTCATGGCCATGGCCTTCATGCTGTGCGCTGCCCTGTCCTGAGCTCTTAGCAGGCGTTATCCCGTCTGAGTCTTCTCAGCGAGGCAGGTGCTATTATTGTCCCCAATATTATGGGGAAAAAAATGGAAGCCGAAAGAAGTTAAGTGATTTGCTGGGATTTAAGTGCAAGAGCTGGGATTTAAACCCAGTCTGATACACGAGCTTTAGCTCTTTAAGCACCACTGGAGTGTCTTACATGGGTTGTTTCCAGCGTTTTATTTCTAAACCACCACATGTAAGACGATCATAAGCACTTAGAGTTTGTTTAAATTTTTGTTGCCATCTAAATGGCTCCTACTTGTGGAACAGTTTGCTTAATGATAGGGGAGTCTTTCTCCTCGGTAGAATGGCTATTTCCTCTCAAAGGCTAAATAATTGTCTGCTCCCTCCACGTTTGGACTCTTTCCCACAGCTGCCTTGTTTTCGATCTTACTCCCAGCACCCCCATAGCCAGGTAAGGACAAAGGCACAGAAATCCGAAGACCAGCATTGTAGCCCTCTTTCTAGTAGATTCTGCGGCGAGTCATTTAACCTTTCTTCACCGAGCTTTCACATTCGTCGAAGTGTGGATGTCAAGTCCTGCCTCCTTGTGGTGGTCATTAAGAAATAATGCATAAAAATCTCATGAGCTTGGAGGTGTCCTAATACTGTTAACCGTTATTAATACAAATACCGCTGGATACTGGGCTGGCTGCTTCAGATCAGAGAGCAGAGCCAGTGGAGAGCGTGCAGATGGGAAGTTTCTGCCACTACTCACATTCTCCCACGAACTCCTATCCCCCCAAATAATAACTAAGATGTGCCTGGTGAATTCTCAACTCCACTTGGATGCTAGAATCTGCGTTTGAAGGGGTCTTCCGGGAAGGAGATGAAGTACCACGTCAGAGGACATGAATAGTCCTACTGAGTGTCATCCTCGAAATGCTAGCGAGCTATGGGCGAGTTGTTCTCATATGCCTTTGTGGGAGCAGATGCCCAGGGCCATCGCTTTGACTCCTCCCTGCCCTGCCTGACTGCTCCAGCGCAAACCTAAAATTAGTGGTGCAGCTGTCCTCCAGCGAAGCCCTGTCTCCATATAGTACTCAGGGGGAGATTTATGGCAGAAGCACTAACCACACACCTCCTAGAGAGAAGGGACGTGCAGAGCAGTGCTCCAAGCCCTCTGGGGCCCTGTGCCTGTTCCCACTCCCGGGGGAGGTGGCTATTCCTGGCCTGGCTTTCCTCACTTCCCAAATAACCCACGATGCTCGTCTGCTTGCCCTGCCCTGTGTTTGTTTTGGCTTGTACCAGTTCCCTCACGACCGTCAGCCCAGCAGGAGCAGCGTTTGCTCCTACAGCCCTCTAACCTGGTCTTCCCTGACTTCCAAGCCATGAAGCCCCTGTCCCAGTCTCCATTCCATCCTTGGGTTCATCTACTGGTCTCTCTTCCCAGCCTACTCTCCCCACATGCGGCCCATGCTGTCCGGCCCCAGCTCTCCCCTCAGTGCTACCCCTGTCCTGGAATGGCATTGCTGCCTTATTGCGTGGTAGACATTCTCCCCATTCTCCAGGCCCCACCTGCTCCAGCTCACCAGACAGGAGGAATCGTCTCCCACAGTGCTGCTCTCGCATTTTGTTCATATTTTCATGACCTATTCAGATTTAACGCTGTGCTCTCTTGGCCTGCGTGTCTTCTTTTGTCTCTGAATTCTATACTTCATAAAGGTAGAAATCAAATTATATTTACCTTGCTGCTCTCCACAGGACCTATCTAAATGCCTGGATGATGGGAGACTGTTAATTCAATTAAAAAATGTTTTTTTGAATAACTTATCTAACTATGAGTAAAAGCCAACATTTGGTGAGTGTACATTATAGCAGACATTTCACATTTGTGAACCCATTTTTCCTTGACTTCAAGCTGGCTCCACATGCATAGTTCCATCATGTCCAAACATGCCTGGGACATGGTACGGCTGGTCTCCATGAGTGCCGTCATGTGAGGGACTGAGGTGCCTTCGGGGAAATAACTCGTTCTAGGAGAGTGAGAAGCGGAGTCCATCCGCTTGAAAGACAACACACCATCACTCACTACAGGGAAGGGAAAACTTGGGAGTCTTCTCTGTCTTCCTTACAGTTGTCTGGGGAACTGACCTCTCCTGGCGGAAGGGAAAGATCTGAGTTTGGGGGGACGCCAAGGGGCGGCATTCATATTAAAACTTTGCTTAGTTTTTGAGATAGGCTTCCAGGATTTGGTTTGATGATTGATTCAGCTGGGGCTTTAGAATTTAAGGGGGTGCTTTTTATAGCAATAGGGAGGGAGAAATGACACTGGGCCAGGGTGAGCTGGCTCTTGCTAACTTGTTCTGCTGTGGACAAGTTTGTTTATCTGCACCAGAGCTGTCTTTGCGCCGTCCAAATTCACTAAGTGGGAAAATTTATTGAGTTGAAGAAGGATTGCTTGTCTGTGACTGAATCATACTGTGACCTTAGAGAAGGTTATATTTGTCCCAGAAGCAGACACCTTCTACTAGGAGCTGTGCCTCTTTCGCTCCTTTATTTCCTGAATGGACTTGAGGGTTTGGGTAATAATAATGGCCGTTTTCACTGCTTATCCACCTGACCATTTCCAGAGCATGGCCACATCCCCTCTGATCCTACTGGATTGTCACACTGTAATATCTAACCCAAGCTTTGAAGCTGAGTTACCAGCTGCTGTCATCAGTATACCACCCAGGTCTCTAAACTCTACTGGCTTGTCTTCCCGCAAGAACATCAGCGTCGATTAGAAATGGGTTGAGTCTTCCAGCAGAGAAGCTGGTTCTTAAACTCCATCGTAGTCTCTGACCATTGTGCCACACTTTGGAAAAGAGGACTCAGGGCTGTCCTCAGGCTGAGCGAGTTCCTTCATCCCTCACCTTCATTTTCTCTATAGAGTGTTTCAAAGAATACAGGAGGTCAGGAAGTGTGTCGT